CTGGGATCGCGATAGTGTGCAGAGTTCGGATGACGATTAACTCTCAATAGGTTTGTGGGTTTAGCTTTTACCTTCATTGAAATGCGCAGTGAGTTCCACTAGTCTTGATCGTCAGGCAACTTGCACCGCAAGGTGATAGCGGTAGATTCGGGGACATTGGTACACATGAGAGTCAGGGAGTTATTATTGGAGCCTTTTTTGAACTGCAACGTCTGGTGGTCGTTGGGCCTGGGTTTATGCTATGTGATGACGGTCCACTGTTCGTCGCTCAATTGGCGTTAGCTGTATTTACAACAAAGCGGACACTAAAGGTAGTATCCTGAGGGACTTTTACAGAGAGCCCTGCATATGTGACTGGAGTCTCAGAGGATTTGAATTTGTCCAGAGAACTGCGGATTGCAGAAGCAGTAGACTCGGGTTCGGCAGTTTCATCCTTATTAATGATACAAGTTGTCTGAGTCCGAGTGCTGAGTTCGATCGAGCACGCGTTTCGAGTGGTGCCTGATTTTCGGGGTCCTGAGTGCCGTTTGTCAATCAGAGCTACGTTCCGTTTTCGTCTGGCACTCTTCCAAAATTGATGAAGCTAACAGAAAAGGGAACCTTGTCAATCGTTGTTCGAGCGACGCAAATTTGGTGCCAACGTTTCTTTTTGAGGACACTGTATTATCATGGTCCATCACTATGAGTCCGGACCTTACCGTGGTGCGATGGTTTGTGTGCCTCAGCGATCCATTAAGCTATGCTGGATGGTGCTTTTTTGCACGTTCAGAGCCACTCATACCAGCTTGGTCCATGGTTATAGGTCAGAAAAACTCAGCCTCTTGGTCCTCCGCGTTGGGGTTGGAATGAGGTGACTCCTTATTGCTTAAAATGGACTACTTGTAGCCCAACGCCAAACTGGCTGCCTTGCGGTCAGGTTTTTGAACCAAAGGCTTTGACTGAAAACCCTAATCTTTCTCCTGTCTAGGCCTGGGCAACCTCACACTATCCTGCCCCTGCAATACAATGTATCTCTCTTCAAACAGTTTCTTTATGCTCCGGCCACCGCAGATTATAATCAACGGTGGCCATCTACTGCATCGATCAAGAAGGATAAGGCTTTGGATGCTACTGTTCAAAACTTCCAGTCTTCTTGTTCCCCTCTTGCGCTTTTTCTCTCTTCCAGTCCCGTTGTAGCTTCACTTTTCTCCCCCAACTTTTCAACCTCCCAATTCTTGGCCCTCCCCCACCTTGCGTTGCTCTGCTGTTACCTTCTAGTTTCAATTCACATATGAACGCGGAGCGTGATTCCTGTCCTGCCGACAAGTACATGTCTAACCAAACGGCCAAGCCCAGTTCATCGACTTCCATTTGGAACCCTCGATTATCCTTTTCATTGGGATGCCTCAATGTACGCACATTGTTACAGATCGGTCAACAGACAGCATTTGCCCGAACCTTAGAGATCCTCTCGATCAATATCTGCTATTTATCTGAGACCCGCCTGCAAGACTCGAGCTCTGTGTTCACTCTGCGATCCCCTTCAGGTAAAAGCAGCAGCACTTTCTTATTGCGCCTATTCGGTGACGACGCAGCTTCGAGCACCGGCCAAGACGTACTGCGTACCGAACTTTCGCTGTCTTGTCCTAATGACACTGGGCTTCAGTGGAATAGGATCCAAGTCGTCATGCACGACGCAGGAGTATCTGCTTGTGACACTATCCATCGTCACCGCACCAGTCACTGGATATCCGAGAAGTCAGTGAACCTGTTGGAATCTAGAAGACACCTCCCGGCTGGCTCTGAACCTCATGTGACCGGACGGGATATTAGGCATGAACTAAAGCAGAGCCTACGTACTGACAAGGAAGCCTGGTGGACCAGTCGGGCTCAAGAAATGGAGGAGGCATGAGCAGTAGGCAATAGCCGCAAGCTCTGCCAGCTAATCCGCATTACTGCTCCCGGAAAGACAGGCGTCAGTGAGCCAATCAGAGACAGCGCGTGTGCACTGATACACAATAAGGAGCGCCGTATGGCTCGTTGGACGAACATTTTCAAAATCAGTTCAGCTGGCTCCCTGCTCCCGGACCTCTTCCTACTAAGGCGATACAGGACGAGCCATGGACGGTTAGTCTAGAGTCTCCGTCAGAGGCCGAGATCCGAAACGCGATTACAGCCCTCAATCGTTTTCGTGCCGCTGGCCCGGATGCTTTCCCACCTGCACTATTTAAGGATGGAGGTGAGGTCCTCTGCAAAACACTGACCACATGATGAGATGAAATTACATCGAAACGCATCGTGGTTGTGCAATGTTTTCGGGTGGGCAACACCCAATTTCTATCCACTGACCTCCTTATTCGTATGTATCTGGAAGGAAGTGTCCCGGCTAATTGGAGCGAATCGATTGTAGTGACAATATACAAAAAGGGCACTCGCATAGGCTGTTCTAACCACAGTGGTATTAGCCTAACACCAGTTGTGACAAAAGTATTGGCCTCTATTATTGTTCGTCGTCTCAGTTCGGAACGGGAATCTCGGATTAGGGAAGAGCAGGCCGGTTTCCGCCCAGGACGTGGCTGTATAGACTATATATTCACTTTGCGGCAGGTGTTAGAGCAGCGCCACGCATTCCGCAGACTGACAATAGCTGTGTTTCTCGATTTCAAGAGTGCGTTCGATTCAGTCGATCGATCGATTCTGTTCGAAATACTTGTGCGGAAAGGTGTTCCCACGAAATATGTGAACATCCTTCGTGCTCTATACTCGAACACTACAGGCCGCGTCAAGGTCTACGGTGGCCTATCGGATAGCTTTCCGATCACAAGTGGCGTTCGTCAGGGTTGTCCGCTTTCCCCATTTTTGTTCCATTTTGTCGTGGATTCCATCATGGAATGTTCCCTTGGGGAATCTCGCGATGTAGGTGTTGAAGTGCTGTCTGGTGAAAGCTTAGTTGACCTAGATTATGCTGATGATATCGCCTTGCTTTTCGATAATGCTGCGGCGGCATAATCAACCCTAAGTAGACTGTCCTGAGTGCTCCCATTATTTGGTATGCAATTCGCGCCTTCAAATTGCAAAGTGTTGCTGCAGGACCACCAGCCACTTGATGACCCCTTGACACTTGATAACAAGAAACTCGAGGTGGTTGATCAATCCACTTATCTTGGCAGCTGTGTCAGTAATGATGGACGCATATATATATATTTGCAAAAGTCTGTTAACAGACATAATGCCATCAGAAACCATGGGATTAAAACGAAGGTACAAAAACAGTAAAATAAAACACAACACAACAATGTCCATGGTTTCCTCAGAGGGCGAGATACTACCCGGTTGCCCAAGCCGAAGTAGGGTGTTGACTTAGGGGACACCACCCCGAGCCTTTGGCTGAATAGCCTGGACGCATAGAAACTGACTTCATCTCACGTATTGCAAAGGCCAGAGCTGCCTTCTTGAACCTGCGGCATCTTTGGCGACATAAAGGAATTTCCTTCCCTCCGAAAGACCGTGTATACAAGGCCACAGTGAAGGCCGTTCTGCTCTATGGTTGTGAGACTTGGCCCCTTCGGTCTGAACATCTGAGGCCCCTTCAGATCTTTGATCATTGTGGTCTGCGAAGCATTGCTGGTGTCGGATGGCACCAGCGTGTCCGCAACGATGATGTGCGTAGGCGATTACTAGGTAGTGTTAAGCATGCTCCCTCCCTGGAACAACAGATAGCACGAATAAGTTGCGTTGGCTCTGGCACGTGCTACGTATGCTCGGTCACCGCTTACCTAGAAGGACCTTTATAATCTGCCAGGTGTAAGGTGGCGAAAGGCTCGAGGTGGACAGAAGTTGACTTGGTAGCAGGAAATGAAGCCACTGACGACCAAACTGGATGCGGTTGGTCCATCTCGCGTTCCGGGCTGGGGTCCACGTGAATCGCCTTGTGCTTGGATCGAGACTTTACAGGACATGGCTCGCAACCGACACTAGTGACGCGTCTGCTGCAGTCTCCTAAACGGATTGCCCGATTAAAATGTGTTTGGGGCTGAGTTATCTGCGGGGTAATGGCTGATTAAGACGCGGGGCAGTGAAAGCCGCAAGGAAGCTCTCTTGCTGATGCCGCCTTTTCTTTGCACGATAGCCAGCTGTTTGTGACGGTATGTTTTCTACACAGTATGTAGGTGCCTTGACCCTGAATGTTTGTTTAGGGCATTAAGATTTTCAGGTAACTTCCCCTTCTCTCCTTCAAACTATTCTTTATTTCCTAGGTTCACATGGTTGTATGGCAGCGAATCAGCAGTTCAAATGGCTGATAATGTTGTTTACTATAAGTAATGCCAACAGGCTTCTCCGACCTATGGCTCACTGGTTCGCATGGTCTTTTAGGCTCCGTCGGTCACACAGTTTGACCTGCGTCAAATTTGTCCCCGGTCAGCGGGAAATGTCGCTGTGCGAGTGAGTTGGGTAGTAGTGCTTCACTCTTCGCAATGCTGGACAATATCACACAGTCTATGTGCGGTAATACACTTAACAATGCAGTGTTAATTGTGTGGCGAAAAATTAGCCTGCAGCCACGGTGTAAAGCTGTACACAGTACTAACTTATCCCTTACCTGGTAGCATTTGCAAAACGCTGTTCAACGGTATCTGGGGGGATTTCTGGGGAAAAAAGCAGTGTTGCGCACTCGCGTCCTATCGAGTGAATCACCGAAAACGTTGTTTGTGGTCTACCAGTGTATCTAAGCAACGCATAAAACTAATCTATCATATTAACGGTTATACAACACAGGGTCCGATTGCGAATGAAAATAATGTAAATTCATCCATGCGAGTCCATAAAGCCTAGTTTCGCTTCGCCTGATTTAATTTCCAGTCGAGTTACTTGTCTGTTGGTAGGAACAAAGTGATCTAAATGGTATTGCCGTGAATTGCTTATATGAACGATTTGTTGAGTGAATAAGTTACTAGTCCGGTGCACTGCTTATTGAGAAATCGGAAGATCGCTACACAGAAGCATGCTTCACTTACATGCAGGCAAACTAGAAGTTTTGGACAATCTGAACACAATGAGGTGCACAGTATCTGAACAAGAGGTTGCGCTACACAGAATGGAAAAAGAATGCGAGGCAATTCGCGAAAAGCTTGCGCACGCTGAACAGCAACTGACACTTTGTGAAACCGAAAAGTCGCAGCTTCAAGTGAGTTACTTGCATACGTTTTTGAAATCTTGTTTCATTGGATCTAAGTGATACACCAGTAAGAAATGGAAACCTCGGTCACAATAATCTCACTTCTGGACTAGTAGACAAATAAGCTATACTCAGTAAAATAGGGTGGGGAATGCCAGATGGCTTCATGAGCATTCCGCAATTTTCTCACGATTTATGGTCACAGAAATTTGCCAAGAGTTATCTGGTTGCTTTCGCCGCGGCCAGCTATTTAAGATGCTGCGTAATTTACGACTTAAAAAGAGTGGTGTTGTTGGTGTGGAACCGTTCTCTAGTAAAATGACCTTCAAAGGAGATAAATGTTACGTACCATTCCGCATAGAATGCTTATTGCTATATATGTGTAGGCTAGACTGTGTCTCAGTTTGGCATGATGAATTCCAAGGGTAATGTTTGGTTGCTCAGGCGTTTGTCCTACTGTCTATGTCAGGTGAAGCTTTAAGACTTCGGACAAATTTGCACATTTCGTTGGCTGGACTGAAGTCGTCCGTTTATCTGCTAACCTGGGTTCAATCCTACTGACGGACCTGACGGTTGTTACCAAATTTAATCACTCGTGGTATTAATCTGTCTTCGTTATCTATGTGCCTTCGTTTCTTAACCCAATCATCTATGGGGGACTGCCAGACAATGATGGTAATACTGCGGCCCATCTGCTTTCCTCTTACGGAATGCGGTGGATTGGACATGTAGTTCATGTATCCAAAACGGCGTGTGTTCAATGTGCTGTTTGCTTTTGCACGTACGCACTGGAGGTTATCTCAATGAGGCAAATGAATTACGGTAGCTCAATTATTTCTGGAAATCGCTTCAACTGCGTTGCCCTTCCCCAGAGTGAAATCACCACAATGAAGATTTTGTGGATCTGCACCAGCAGCCAAAAGAGGAATCACTACACGGAGGAATTCTTGTTTCGTCTTTCTCGTGTGGGTTTTGCCACGGGTGCTACTCCGCTTGGGAACAAATAAGTCAAACAACCAAGTATAGCCTTATGGATGCATCCATATAGGTGACTGCTCTGTACTGCTTCCATACTAGCGATACACAGGCAGAAACGCAGATAATCTTGCGCATCATGCCCGCGCTCCACTGCTGACAATGGGGTAGAGAAACAAAACGCAGAAAGACATTTGTGTAATGTCCTCGCCAGCGTTGTTCAAAATCATAAATGAATACTTCTCAAAGCGCTTTAAGCACACTTCTCATTCACTGGAGTCTCTCCTGGATGACATGTTTAGCTAGTCAACTCAATCTATTGTAGTGAGGAGGATCCCCGTGCGCGGACTAAATAAATGGCGCACAATTAGATGCGTGAGTTGTATCTCGTAAGCCGCACTAATTCAACAAACATGAAAGATGCACACCGTTTCGTCATCCCACTTGAGTGTACGTGACGAATAGCAAGCCCCTAATTGTTACACTCCATTGCTAGAACCGGCTTGAGAAAATGAAGTCATCCGAGATGAAGATGGATGAAGAACGCCGTCAGTTGTTGAAGTCATTGGATGATGCGGAGACAAGATACACAGAGGCAGAAGTATCACGACGTCGGTTGGAAGGTGATCTGAAACGATCCAAAGCCACCATTGCTGAACTGGAAAAGGAGAAAGAGGTGAGACTATACTGTATGTATCCAACTTTTTTCAGCAGTTAGCATACTTCTTTAGACGTTAGATACTAAAACTGTTAATTGTCACTGGCGGTTTCAGTGAGTTGAGTTTAGTACTCGGTTCAGCCAGTCACGCCAGGCGGTAGATCAAAACGAGGTATCTTTTAATTTTACACTATGCGTCACGTACAGTATGCTAGAAATTTGAAGACATATGTTGTGTACCGTTTTGAGGGTCAAGATGAGGTCTACGCAACAATCAAGTTGCTATCATCAATCTACAAATTCCTAAGTGGTACTGCACTGAGATCTGGATTGCTGTTTCATCGAAGCTCATTTTCGTTTGCTATTCCCCATTGCCCATCCTATGCCGTCAACTTGAGTGAGTTTGTCTATAATGAATGCATCCGTTCAGTTACTCAGTCCATTTCACGCATACCTTGTCTTTGGTGAAGTTAAGCTTTGTCCTTGTTGGGCACGACTAACCTCGGATTACTGAGGAGTAGTAGGTGGAGTTGAGTGGAATAACTAGAAATTCGTCATAACTAGGCTCACACAGACAGTTCCGAAAGCACTATATGTGCCTTTCATTCTTTCGGGAATCGTCAGCAGTGCGCATTCCATCTGACCCTGGGCAAGATGGCTGTCTGAGGAGGTCTAGATCTGACGAATTTCTACCTAATTTGGGACTGTCCATCCAAAACATGAAATCCTCAGTCAAACGAGCAGTGTACAATTGGAACAGATCTGCAAATCTGCAACAGCTCATAACCAGTGTTCCAGTTTACAATCACGTCATTATTCCTACTAGTTTCAGACCTGATAATAGAGGTTCTTTTCTGCATCTTGTGTTCATCAAGCAGGAACATTTAATTGATGTACTAATTGCAAACCGCTCTTTGGGCCGTAGTGATCATGCACTCAGCAGTTTCGAGTTCATTTGCTATGAGGAACATCGACACCAGAACACTGAGTTGGTGCGCACCATTACACGCTACGACCGTTTAGCCCAGATCTTCAGTGCCATAACCTTCTCGCTCCTCGCTGAAAGCCACCCGGAAGTCAATTGAATTAAATGTGTCAGTAAATTCAAGCAACTGGCTACGGATGCCTCAAAGACAAGGGTTTGCAATAGACCCTGAACCGTTTCTTTCGTGAGGAGCGGAGCTGGAGGATGGATGACAATGCGCAACGCAGTCTGAGACAACTGCGTAGCTCATCGTAATCACTGTACATAACTTCGCAAATAGGACAAAGTCGCATGGGAAAAGAAAATGGCGAAGTCTCCCTGCGTTAACCACAAACTGCTGTACAACCATGTTCACGATTGTCGCAATCTGAGACAGGGAATTCCTCCACTCCAGACGACTGATGCTCCAACAACAACAGCCATAGAAACAACGAACGCATTACGGATAAATCTGCCCCCAATATTCGGAGGGTCTTACCATCAGGCCATCTTCCAGCTTTTGTTTTCCCGCCTCCATTACTAACTCACATCGCTTTTACTGCCGAAGCTGTACTACAGAAGCTGACATACCTTCGCGATTCCAACTCTCCGGGAGTCGTCAACATGCACCCAGAGGCACTGGAAGCCGCAGCAAGGCGACTGGCAAACCTTTGGCCCAGGTTCCCCTGCCAAGTTTAGACCAGAACCAGATTCCTGCGATGTGAAAGCGTCGAAGAATAACTCCGATTTACAAAGGCGGATGTAGGACTGAGTCCTCAAACTACTGCCCACAGTCCCTTCTCCCTGTATTGTCCTATATTGCCGCTGCCAATAGGTTGCTGTGTCAGCTAGAAAATCGTAACATGGTTACTCCAGAACAACTCGGTTTTCGTCAAGACCGATTGTGCACAACGAATTTACTAATCGCACGGAGTGATTAAACCGAGTCAGCTGACACGCGATAAAAGGTTGATGTGAGTTACATGGACTTGTCTAAGACATCAGAACCTTTGGATCATCGGATTCTACTTTCCAAACTTTAATGTTACGGGATCGGTTACCCTGTCTTGAGCTCGATTGCAAACTTTCTCTTACAACGACAATTAGTGGTCAGAGACCGGAATTTCTTATCTGACTCCATACCAGTCGAGTCTGGTGTGCCTCAGAGCACAGTTGTAGTTGCACGTTTGTTTTTGATTTTCAGCAATGACTTTGCACCAACAATGGCTTCAAATTTGCTGCTGTTCGTCGACGATAGCAAGATATGGCGCCGGATTCAGGTGGATGCTGAGCAGAAGTTACTGCAATGCGAACTAGATGCGATACATGATTACTAAATAAGTAAACTTTTATTCTCGACAATGCGAGACATCTTTACTGGCATGATCATGTGGAGCTAACATATTATGATCGAAATTGTACAAAAATACACGTTTGGCATAACAGTGGGTGTACGTGGATGGGTGTATATACGTGTGCGATTGTGTATGAATGTAGCTGTGTAGCATATTTGCTAATGTGCTGCAGCATTTTTGACTGTTTGTTATCGTCAGGAATGTGAGAACAAACGATTGGTCAACCCGAAATCTGTTACTGTTCAAGGGGGCCAAATGCATGGTACTCTCCATACTCTCCACACCAGAGTATATCTATTCCTACAAGCTAAGAAAGCAAGTACTGCAGCGCTCATCCGTCGAACGCGACCTTGACGTCCTTGTTTAGGATTACTTGGGATGTTCCTGATAGGCAAATGCATCGAGAACTGGTAATCAGCACGTCGGCTTGCTACGACTGGCGTTCTGACGACTAGACACCACTATTTCCGGAGAGATGCTTAATGGGTATGTTCGCACCATGTCGAACACGCAATCCAAGCCTGGCAGCCATGGCTGAAGCACGACCTTACTGCACTGGACCAACGTCAAATCCGTCTTCTAACTACGTCACTGGAATGCGCCACCTTCCATACGAGCACAGGCTGAAACCTTTTGGAGTATGCATTGAGCGGTGTTGCTGTTTATTAGGCGACTTGATTATGGCGAACTTGGTTTTATATACTCTAAATCCTGTGTGCAAACTCTTTACTGCAACACAGCAATAACATCACACTTAGGGGCCACTGCGTGGAATTTGTCGAAGAGTGCAGCGGCCTGTCGTGTGGTAGAAATTTCATTTCCATTTTTGTGTGTCAAACATGGAATTCTGTCCCCGAATCTGTTGTTTCAGCACCCGCCATATCTATATTTAAAAGTCGGTTGGATGACGCACTTCGACAATTACATTTTGTTACCTGACTCTACTGTCCGTCCCACTCCCGGGAATTACTTTTGATTTTTCCTATTAAATCTATGGAAACGCTCGGAGTGCACGGCTATTGCATCAAAAACGATAAGTCCTTTCTTTTGTCAGAAGTACTACCAAATGCATTTTTATTAACTTTTCTCCATGCTCCATCAGACCACTCAACTGGGCTTGTAAAACGATTCTTCTTAACCCGTATACATTCATTGTTCATTGTTCAGTACCGGAGGTCTCTTTCACTGTATTCGGATGTGCAAATATTTGTTGTACGGGCATGATTGTGACTACTCTTCTTCGAAAGATTCTACAAATCCCTTCTTCCAATACCGTGCAAGTCTTTTCAGGTTGTATTTTCGGTGACTGCTTGGATTTATTTGTCGTTCATACCCCCAATCTGTCAGCCACCCTCACAAAATTACGCCCACCTTATGTACACGGAAACAAGTGTGACACATCCTGAACCATTTCGCTGGGATACGCTTCGCAGTGATTTACTCAACTGGTATGTGATGGGAAACATACATCATGCCACAAGGTCAAAATCGAATCGAGCAATTAACCGCGCAGTTCAACCTAACCTCTAATGCGTTTCTCAAAGAAATAAACAGTAGCCGGTGAGCTAATTCCCGTACTCCTATGACTAAAGTAGTGAAAGATGAGATTAGATTGTCAAGAGAGTTTTTCGTCGAATTCCTGTACGAAATTCTAACAGATGTCATGTTTCACTCCATCAGTGAGCTCAGTTTAATCACATGATTGCCTTAGTGCGCAAGGATAAATTTTGATACCTAAGTTTTAACAAGTCTTATAACGTAGTATTGTATTGGTGCAGCACCTTGTGACACAGAATAAACAGCAATCAATACAAGAGGTGAGTAATAGGGCAATTAATATCGGAGGTTTATTGGTCGCCCAATGCGGACTAAGAAGGGGCCAATTTGTTTCGCATGAACGTCGGTGCACAAATGTTGTTGTGTCTTCAGTAAAACTTTATTGGAGAATATCCTGAATTCTTTTGTATCACTCTAAGTTTCGTCTTGATAAAAATAGAGTTCTAATAGTTTATACTACTCTGATTATAAACAATAACAATGGTAACATCAAGAAATACAATAGGAATGGTCTATAAAAATAGCCGTACTCGTCGAACAGAACAGTTAAAGGTTAGTATCAATTACCGAACGTAGAATTCCTCTAGGGTTGTCAACTGCTATTGGTTCTAGTAACTGATTCGGCCTACCCGGAGACCGACATCAAGGAAAAGGACGTACTGCAGCCCAACTTAGAATCGTAGTTGACATTTTCGTGTCTTCATGTCATATGACGAAATGATACCCTGAGAAATTTGCCCTCCTGCTAAATTGCATCTTAACGGTAGACATCGAGTTATGCGGTCAACAGGCATACGGACAACTGATGTTCAAGAGATGCTTCAGTGAGGCTTTAAATAATGTCTCCAAATATCTGTGCTGCTAACATTATGGCATCAAAGGATGCAAAAAATACCACACGCTCATTAGTGCTCAAACAAATTGTTTCTTTTGTTGCTACTCTAAAGTGCAGTTGCCTTCTCTAAGACCACGAAGGATTGCAGGAACTGACTTAAATCCAGAACAGTAAACACGTACAATAATAAGTTTGCTCGTAACTAATGTGAACACGCATGTAATGAACAAATAATTTTTTCATACTTTCAAGGTAAAATCCGTGTTAACAGCTTTGGACATAGAGGTGCATGCATTTGAGAGCGCAT